AACCCGAAACCCCCCTTACCCTTAAGAACCCTCGGCAAGGATTAGGAGTCAAGACCTAGGGGTTTGACCCACTAAACCGACTGGGTCCAGACTTCTGGACATCCGAGGGGAACGTGCACGGAAACTATCACGAGAATTCCCCTGGAAGCCATAGAAACGAAGGGGACTTCGACACGGGAAGAGAAGATCAAACGAAAATCTTAGAATCAAACAAAGCCAAGAAAAAGGGATCACCAGTTCGACTGCACGCCACAACCAAGCCCCAAACAGGCATAATCACTCGAAGCCAAGAGTCCTTAGCCCCTTTCCCTCCCCTTGCCAATCAAGTACCATTTCGTTAAAGAATCCGTCCTATCACTCCAAACCTCGCTCTTGATCCCTCATTACAGACAAACCCGTACAAGGTGGCAACCTTCCTTCCTGTATTACGACCTTGAGACATCGACCCTATCCGCCCCTCGACTTTGAAACCTAGCCCTTGCACTTCTTACACCCCTTTAAACCCAGACCAAGAAAACATAGATATATATATGTATGTATATCTGCCTCTAGAACTCGTGCTTAAGGATCAATGAACATTGTACGATGGGTCATCTTATGTATCCAAGTCCCTTTTATTGTGCACGAGGGCATGGGACTTGTCAGGACATGAATCTGTGCATTTTTGGGGTCTTTCCCGAAGGAATTGACTATTCCTAGTCACTTTCCCGCGGGTCCCCAACGGGTCCTTGACGGGACCTTGGCGGGTCCTTGGCAGGAGCTTGGCAGGCGGACGACCGCCCACCTCGCGCCCACTGGTACAATGTGCTGATTTCTTAACCCCTCATTTTATTGATTTGTGGCGCACTTGTGTGCCCCGATTGAGGAATGTGAGTCTTGGGTAAGGAACCATGGACCACCCAAACATAGTGTCCTACGTAAAAGACCTTGACGCACGAGACACCATCGGGGAATCACAATCAATTACATTGCACGAGTAATTGAAATCGGATCATACGATACAACCGACTAGGGATGTTTGGCGTAAAGGATTGCGCAAACCAAGGAGGCGAGTTGGGAACTCGTACTAAGAACCCACGAAAACCTTAAAAGTCAAAATGCTAAGGAGGGACCGGGACTCCTCCAAACCATGGACATCGTTCGAGCAAATCAGAGGACTCCTTACAAGTTGTATGGAATCAAGAACTACATAGCCCATGGTGCTAAGCAAAAGGGTGAAGAACACATTCGCGCCAAGACTTCAAGGGTCATTAAGGACCCACAAGGAAATGAGGTGACTCGTAAAGTCGACGAGTCATCCCACAACGAGATTTGGTAACCGACTGCGCTTTAAAAGAAAAAGGTCACGCAAGGTCACCTTCATCATTAAAAATAACACAAACAAGGCACAACAATGCCGAACCTCGGGTAAGACATGAAGTCTTACTAAGAATTTCATCCACTAAAGAGGAGATGAAATTCAATAAGAAGAGAAATTCAACCCAAAGTCCATCGACTCCCAAGAGACTTTGGGAAGAATTTGGGAAGTGCGCCCTAAGAGATTGGCTTGGTTGACCCAACTCGGTCAAGACCTTGGGCGCATTAAAGAAGTAAGTGTTGAATCACCACAGGAAATTCCCTCAAGAAAGAAGAGAAGGATGAAACCTCAGCCTGGGAAGCAAAGTCTAACAAGGATCTTAAAGATAAGCAAGCACCAACACCAAGGAAGGAGGATCATCAGCTCGTCGGCGCATCGTGATCAAAGCATCTAACCAGATTATTCACTTGGGATCGAGAAAACCTTAACCCATCCTAGCCGAATTCCTTTTCCTCCCTCGGAAAATCGGCCCCTTCCCTATTTCAAAACCCTTTCTACCCTTCAGACCCCATTCTCAATCCCATGTTTTAACGATTCCATACAAGTGGCAACCTCACAACCTAAGTTGCAACCTCGAAAACTTGATCCTAATTCCTGAATTCACCGTGTCCTCAAGTTTGAAACCCACTCTCTTAGCCCTGTAAAACCTAATCGCTCCCAAAAACCCAACACACATTGGCGTGCAAGTATACAATTTCCCCGTGGAATACCTTCTCTATAGGACCACGGTTCTTCTCTTGACTCGTTAACCCTGCAATGATTTCCAAGCTTCGGGGACGAAGCTTCTCGTAAGGGGGGGGGGGGAGAGTGTAACACCCCGTGTTACGGCCTTCAATCCCGGATTAATTATTATATTAATCCCATTAATAATAATTAAATATGATTTAATTCGGTTAGGTTTCCTTTAATTAATTAATAAAGGTCCACCATGAACCGTGGACCCTTGCCTAAATTAGAGTCCTGAGCCTATTAGGAATAAAGAAAGTAAACCCTTTACTATTTAGATTCTAATTAGGAATCCTAGACCTAGTTATCTATTAGGAATAAAGGAAGTAGGCCTTTTACTATTCAGACTACGATTAGGATTCCCTTTAATTAATTAATATGGTCCACTATAGACCATGGACCCTTATCCCTAAACCCAATCCTTAGTTCCAAAAGGAATAGAATTAGCAAGCCTATAATATTAGTTCCTAACCAGGACTCCTAAATATATAAATAGGGGACTTAAGAGGGACCTAGAACCCCCCACCACAATAAACGTTCCACTACCCCAAAGTGCTCCAAGAATCCACTTAGAAGAAATCAAGAAAGCAAGAAAGCTTAAAGAAAGACCCTTCATAGCCAAGGAATTAATTAAGGCTAAGAGGTAACCCATGTCTCAACAAAACCTATTTTTATAGCTATGATTTCCCCTTAGGGTTTCCCCCATATGATTGTAAATGGCGAATTACTATGATTATTATTGATGTTGATTTAATGATTCCATGGGGAATCTTGATAATCTTGATATTGGGAGTTTCTTGATAATTATGATGTTCTTGATGATTAATTGGGATTTTGATGATTATGTGTTGTTCTTGATGATTATGATGTTCTTGATGATTAATTGGTATCCTTGATGATTATGTGTTGTTCCTACCGAATCTTGCAATTAGAAGACGAACCGTATTCTTGTTGATATAAAAGTGATTAGAACCCTAGGTTGTATCGTATGATCTTATTCTTGGACTATCGGGTGGGAAATCGCATGTTTGGGTGTGGATTATGTTTAGGAAAGCATGATAGGCCATGTGTCGTTCGTTTCCCGTATTTGATCCATTAATTGTCTATTTGTTGTTGTTAATTGCGTTGTAAAGTGTCTAAGCATGGTTTCGGGTTCCACATCGGTTCCCGGGGCGAAAAGTGATGAAAAGAGTCAGTGGGGGGTAGGTGGGGGTAGGGGACCCGCCACCTACCCGCGGCATTCTCGGGCAGCTCCGGCAGCGGGCAGCTGCCCGCCGGGCACCCGCTGCCCGGAACAGTGACAGCCGGCGGGCAGCCGGCGGGTGGACCCCCACCCACCGGCTACCCGCTGGAATCTCACCCCACCCGGGACCTCGGCCTCCCCGTTTGATGTTTCCCCGACCCCCGTGGTGTCCCAACGGACCCCGTTTGTCGTGCCTATGTCTAGTTGATGTTTCGGGTACCGTTCGTAGGTTTATAAGTCTGTTATATCGCATGCTAGATGAATTGGTATCCTATTGACCTAGGTGAAGGAAGTATGAACCCCTTAGGACTACTCTTAGTATGTGATGGATCACGCATAGGTTTGTTATATGCTTTACCCCCTTCCCAATGTGTAAACGTGGGTTGCATGTGCTTGCTATGTGTTATGTGTGCGTGCCACCCCAATTCGGTTGCGATCGGATTGGTTATCCTGAGCTGCGGTTCAGAAGCTGGCTGCGGTCAGATGACATTCTCTTGGGCTGCGGTCCACCGTTTGGTTGCGATCAAACGTTTCTATACGAGCTGCGGTTCGTCCTTTATCCTGGCTGCGGTCAGATGACACTCTCTTGGGCTGCGGTCCACTGTTTGGTTGCGATCAAACATTATGATGAGCTGCGGTTCATCGGTCGGTTGCGATCGACCTCCCCGTGTTGCGATACGGGGCATGGTGCTGCGGGGCTGTGTCAGAGCTATATGCGCTGACCCTCATGTATGGGCATGCGATCGGTCCCGTGGCGCCAACAATGTGCATTATGTGTGTGATATGGACAAGTTGTGACTATGATGCCTTGGAATGTGACTATGGGTTTCATATTGGGGATTGTTTATGATGGGATTATGATTACTGTTTATGCCTTGTTGTAACTGCTTTATCTATTATGAAATGCTTATGCTTGCTATGTCTACTGCTGGCGTCTAGCTTTAACTGTTGAGTCATTCCCGGTTTTAAAAGCTAGAGTTCGTAGGATATATCTTCATGCTCATAATGGTTTTCGTATATCTATATATATATATATATCTCTATATGTATTGTATTTCAACGCGTTGGAGTGGGTTACCAGCATCTCTCGTTGAACAGATATATTTGGCTTTCAGGCACAGAAGAATAAGTCACTGGAGCGCGCTAGAACTCGGAACGTAGAAGTAGATAGTTCCCTTCTCGGCCTGCGTGCCATATTATGCATTTACATTATTGAGGATATTAGTTAGTTAGCCTGTGCACCTGGGTTCTCCAGCTCAGGTGTGGCATAGCACCCCGTACACTTGTATTATGTTTTGGGATTTAATGAGATAATACCCTTATTTTATAAGTTTTAAATGTCTTGAAAATCTGGGGTGTTACAAAAATAGACAACGGTTTTAAACCATTTTTCACCTGCTTAAATTATAATCGTATAAAAAAACAATTTATCCATTCACCATATGTTGCAAATGTAGTTACATAATTGTGCACAAACTAATAAGGTTCAAAATAACAAGTCAAAAGACAACACATGACCAATTCTAATTATCATCCAAGTCATAATACTACTACAACAATTCCCCGAACCAATTCAAGTCCAGATGATCACAACGTTCGAATGACCAAATCATACCTACTCTATATGACTTGATAGAATATCGGCCCATTCAGATCGCACCAGATCAATAACCTCTTTGTCATAATCAACTTGTTGAAACTACATGTAAAAAGTAAGAAAATAAATTAGTATAGATATAAATAATTTGCAATGAAATGAAACTGCCCTCTTACTCTCACCACATTCATACTCAAGCTGTTCATAACAAGATAATGAGTTCCCTAAAGAGAATCATAACAGCAAGTGTAGCCAACAACTAAAGAAACACACTTGAAAAAGCAATACAAATGCACTCCCCCCAAAAAATGCATGAAACTTAAACACAAACGACAAAGAAATCCCTTATTAATTACAAAACATCAAGCACTAAAATGCCCAAAATTTCGAGCTTTCACACGCATTCTACACCCAAATTTCAGAGCAACAAACTTATTCTAAAAAATAAAAAATAAAAATCAAATTTATCATCAATAACTGTCCAAATCAAGTGAAAAAGAGAGAGGATTAAACCCAAGCTAACAAAGCATTAAAAACCTAGAACCATTCTGCAATTAAATAACAGCGAGAAACAAGGAAGATAGAGTTTAAATGGAATGTAATACCAGTGCTTGAACAGAATTTTTATCATCGAAGTCTGGCATATTCTCAATTAAAGTTTTCATGTACGCCATGACAAAGAAACCGCATTGGTTACTATCCGGTTGACGAGGAGCCTACAAATGTTAAATAATATTTGCATTACAATTTAGCTATATACAAACACTTATATAGTTAAAAATATGAAATTACCTTGACAATTTCCCAAGCAGTTTTACTGCGTCCTTTCTTTGCATTCGTAGTGGATGCATGAACCATTTTAATAGCCCTTCATATATATATATATATATATATATATATATATATATATATATATATATATATATATATATTGTTGATTATTCAGATTATGTAATAATAATCGAAAGAATGAAAATAAAAAAAATAAAAAATAAAAACTTACATTTCTACAACACGCTTCCAATCATCATCGCGAATGCGATGATTAAGAGGGTCCCACACATAAACTAAGTCCTTAGTGATGTTGATAACTGTCAGAATCCAATGGAAACTATGCACACACAAACACATAATTATATATTACATCAACACAATATATGCAATTGACAAGAAAAATAAATTCATATCGCTTAAAAATAATCAAGTAACAACACAAATAATATATATCAGACATACCCATAGATTGAATACATGCTCATCAACTCGAATACAAAGAACCAAAAGAATCAGAAATCATAATAATGCTGTGAAAAATAATTAGTAGCAACTACCAAAACAAAAACCACTTGGATCCAAGTATCTAACATGTGGGTCTTGAGAACCACATAAGTGATAGTATTATGGATTTTAATGGACACTGAGTATTATATTTGACCTCAAAGACTTGTCTTGTTTTATTTAAACCTTAGATATCAACTTTCCATGTCATGTTTGAATGGAGCCTTGGGTTCAGGAAGCAACCTTACATGGTTTATATTTGTGTTGAAGTGTTACAGTGTTACTGTTGGCTTCTTGTTCTGTGAAATTGAGTTAACTGATCTACAATACAGCTAGAAATAAAGTGAAAGTATATTCAGTTTGGATTTTGGAAATTAATGGGATACCACTTGGTTGTGGGGAATATATGTACAGAGAACTCCTAGCGTTGCAAATTTCTGTTATCCTTTCAATGATGATCATATCATTAGAATTTACTAAAAAGAAAAATAAGGGTAATATTTGAATGTATTTAGCTGTAACATAGACATGGTGGAATGGCAAAAGAGAGAGATTTAAATACCACCATACATATTACAGACTTAAGAATACAGTAACTTCATTAATACCTTGAAGTAAATGTATACTCTATGTCATTCAACTGCAATGTGTAGTCAAAGGCTCAAATACTCATATAGCTACAAATTTACTTTCAACGACATGTGAATCCTTTCACAACAGATTAGGCAGAATAAATAAGAACACTTGAATTTCATTAAAAAGTATCAATCATAACCTAAATGTGGCAGTTACCTCAGAACAAATTAAGCAATATAATTCTGCAAAAACTAAGATTTCCTAGTGCCAATATCACATAGAATAGTTTGATTACCTCAACCTCAATAATAAACATGACATGACAAACTCTAACCATTACAAAAGATAACTGACCTATTGGAGCACTGGGTAACTGTCCGTCCTTCAAGGGAAGCAGCAACAACCTGCCAATTACTCTCACCAAAAGCTTCCACAGCAGCTCTGAGTTTATTATCCTCCTCCTCAGTCTTCCCAATTCTTCTTGATGCTCACTGTATTGCATATAAGCATATTGATTAATTGAATAAATATATAACCTATAGTTCATAGTGCATGCACACACAGAAACAACCCACATGATCACAAAAAGGAGGTAAATGCAATAAGTTTATATGAGGATACATGGTGGGGAAACAACAGTGTACTTGGCTGCTATAGCCAGGTGTAAAACTACTGAAACTGATAAGGGGAAAAATGTTGCATTTCATATGCACTTACAGGGTCTGACAACCTCTTGAGAATCATTATGTTCACTCTCTCTCTATGTGGGAAAATGAAAAACTGAATATCTTTTATCAGATTTGAGTATGAACTAAAATGTGCAAACTGCCATTGGAAAGATGATATAAATAGAAGTCCAGATATGGCAGTTGCAGACTTGCAGATTACAAAAACTGAGAAGAAAACTCAGTTCCCCTGAATTAAGGAGTTGAAAGTAGCTAGTCTTAAGCTTCTAAATCCACTCAAGGTTCTGTCTGATCAACTAGCACTTCCATCTCAAATCTATACTCCCCTTCTGTCTATGCCACCACCAATTTCACTATAGCCACAAACCGAGGCTGATTTTGAGATCGGGCATCGCGAATAAAGAAAACATGCTTCCCAAGTCCCTTCTACCCAATGATACGATTAAATTATTATTTGCATTCATTTTGAACTGAATATCGGTATTATTTAAAGTAATACTCTGTATCTGTAAATGGGTGGAAGGGATTTGGGAGGCACGTGAGAGAATTTACATTTCCAAGATTGAAAACATGCAACAAAATTTTTGAGCAAATTTATTATTTTCAATAACAACCTCGATGATGTGATTCTCTTCTCTCCCTTGATGAATCTGGAGCTACAGGTCAATGAACCCACTGAAAACCCAAGCAATACAGAAGATGAACTACCGGGAAAATTATTCTCAGAAGGAGATATAAGAGAATCTTAAATCCACACAATAGTAATTGATGCTTAAATCCAAAATTTTTCACAAATTAAACACACGCATTCATACAATCAGACCTAGCTTGGATGTATTTGACAGCTTTGCACATTAAAATAGAAAAGCTAACCTTAAAAGCTAAACCTCAGTTCTTCACGGCGGCAGCGGCTGGACCGACGGCGACACAGGATGGAGGCGGCGATGGCGGAAGAGGTTGGGTGCGGCGACGGCGTCGAAGCTTGGACGCGGCGGCGGTAGGCGGTCGGCGGAGATGGCTAGTAGCGGTCGGTGGAGAACACGGACGAGCAGTAACCTAGGTCGGCGGAGATATGTCTGAAGCAGAGGAAATTTTGGAATTGTTACTTGTCTCTTGCCCAATTTTGTCTTAGAGGGAAGACAAAAATTTCATTCCCAATTTTGTCTTAGAGAGAAATTTTAATTTGTCTTAGCTTAGAGGAAAATTTTGTAACAAAATATTATTTTAATTACCCGGGTCGCTACATTCGGTCAATTAAAATAGAACCGGGTATATAGGTACAGAACACGAGATTCATAGATTTCTATAATGTAGATTCAAAATTTCTATACAGTATATTTCTAATTTAAATACAGTTGTATAGATTAATAATTTCTCTATACAGTAAATTCATAATTTCTATACTGCAAATTCATAATTTCTGTATTGTTGATTCATAATTTCTAAAATGTATAGTTATCAACACTTGGGAATATGAACATCGCAAATTATAAACTCAAAGTTCTATAATTGTGAATATAGATCAGAGTTATTCAATCATTATGAATATGCATTTCAATTCAAAAATTATGAATATATAGTTTGGTAATTATGAACATAGAGCTAATTAAGATCGCGGCAAAATAAATGGGATATAGCAAACTGTACGGCATCGATCAACTACTCTTTCATATCCATTCTCAACGTGTCCCAGGCATGCCGGAGGGGTCGATTACCAACAATTTCAACCTAGCTTGTTAGTCATGCGCTAGCCGGAAGGGTCGATTACCAACATATAGCTAACTTTAGCTTGTTAGTCATACGCTAGCCGTAAGAGTCAATTACCAACATATAGCTAACCTTGTTAGTCATGCGCTAGCCGAAATAGTCGATTACCAACCTCGGCCCCTATCATATATACCGCCCTTAACCCTTACACACTATACTGCACCATTATGAACACCACCCCATATTGTTTTTTATACTTGATAATTATTATTATTTTTTTTGAATTCATAGATTGGTCTTAATTGTAATATAATTGAAAATAAAATTTTAATGAATTTACTTTGAAATTTTGGTGAATAATTTTATATTTAAATATGAACGAAAATAGAACTATTTTGGTAATATACTAGATGTTGCCCTTGAATATACAAGTGTTGTTGTGGCTTGGTGGGTTTAGCTTAGTTTATTGTGGTAAAGGTCTTAGATTCTATTCTTCTTGGGGGAATTCTTCAATTATTTTCTAAAATTGTTGTTTTGGTTTTCACAAACAACACAGAAGCAACCCAGATATATAACAGATGTTGCACCTTTAAACATAAGAGTTTGTGTTGCTTAGTTGGTTAGACCATTTATTTGTTAAGTTAGAGGTCATAGGTTTGACTCTTGTTGTTAACATCATTGTTTTTATTTTATATGCCTGTTAAATAATGATGCGCAACGACAACGGTTTTAAAACTGTTGTCTTTGTAGTGTTGTGTATTCAAATACACTAAAAGACAACATACCAAAGACAACGGTTAAATAAAACCGTTGTCTTAAACAAATAAAGAACATGCAAAGACAACGGTTATATAAAACCGTTGTCGTTTTAGTGTTGTGTATTCAAGTGCGCTTAACGACAACACACCAACGACAACGGTTAAATAAAACCGTTGTCTTTTTTTTAAAAAAGAGCGCACAAAGACAACGGTTTTAAACAACCGTTGTCTTTCTAGTGTTTTGTATTCCATTGCGCTTAAAGACAACACACCAATGACAACAGTTAAAAAAACCGTTGTCTTATATAAAAAAAAACGCACATAGACAACGGTTTTAAAAAACCGTTGTCATTGTGGTGTTGTCTTTTCACAAAATGCACAAAGACAACACACTTATAACAACGGTTAAGTAAAAACCGTTGTCTTTGACAAAAGTGTTGCATCAAAGACAACGTTTTTGGACGAAACTGTTGTCTTTTATACAAAAGACAACACTTTTCTTAAAAACTGTTGTCTTTCTAGTGTTGTCTATGTGCATTTTTCTTGTAGTGAATTGTTAGATCTTTTGATCTCAAAATAACAAAGAGAGATGTTTGCACCTCTGATAAGCAAAGTGGTCCTTGGCTTGAGTTCTGTGCATATGTGACATGTAATTTTTAGAAGTGAGGATTTAGAATAGCAATGGCCTCTTACTTCTTTCTTCCATGTTTTGTTTTTTTTTTGTTTTTTTTTTGTTTTTTTGTTTTTTTGTTTTTTTGTTTTTTTTGATTTGGCAAGTTTGAAATCTTCATTTATAGCTAGTGGTTATAACTCACTGTTTTTTTGCTGTGTGAAATACCACTATCTCTCTATCAAGTAGAAAACTGAAACTAATATCTTAATCTCATATTGCTGGGTAACTTTGTTTATCTGGATTTCCTAAGATTAGTTAATAAACAAGGGCAGTGTTTATTTCGATTTCCTAAGAAAGATTAGTTAATAAACAAGGGCAGTTTCACATCCAAAGCATATAATCATCTCTTCTATTAGTTGAGCACTTAAAACTTTTTACTTAATATAGTCTCTCATTGTTTTAGTCGAAGAAAAAGATGCAGGGAACTTACAAACATGTCGTTTCTATGTATGTTTGTATGCGTGTGTATAGTCCTTGCATACATACCCGCCTTTCATTTTATTTGGCAAATTAGCCGCATTAATATGTTAAAGTATTTGAAACAGGAACAGAATTTGGTCCATCTGCCATTGAGCTCAAGAGATTTTCACTTTGATGCAACTATTTGTTACTCTTGTTTTCATATTAAATGCTTGTCATGTACTCATGTGAATTTCTGAACATTAGGCTAGATTTTGAACATCATAGACTCATAGTTAATATTAACCATGCTAAGCTGGCTATTGTCCATACTTTAACATAATTGGTCACTTATAGATTTCTTTGTTCAATACTAACTGAACCTTACATTGCAGCGAGATCACCTGGCCTCTGAAGGACGGCGAATAACGAAGCTTGATAAAGTAGTAACTTCGTCGTCACTACTTGATTGATTATTGTTCCACTTTTTATCACTAATCCTAAACCAAACATAGGAATTTCTAGGAGTATGCAGTTCTGTTTTTTATAATCCCTGTCTAATTCTTGAGTATGCAGTTCTGTTTTTTATAATCCCTGTCTTATGAGTCCAGATTGTACCTGTTCTGCAATATTCAATCCAGCTAATTCTTGATGTTACTGTGTTTGCTGGGTGTGAACTGTCAGTTTAGGACAACCTAGTATTTTTAGATGAGATTAGAACTTTTTAACCTTTCTATCAACATTGGTTAAATATTTCATTCTTCTTGCATTTCTGCAAATAAAGATTCAGTAAATTGTTTTACATACTGTACAATTTTGAGGGTTCATTTATGCTTCTGAGCTAGCAGACCTTAAGTTGTGTTCTTGAACTGAAAATGTAAGCAGTATTTGTGTTTCCTCAAGGAGGTGACATGCTGACATCCAATTATAATCCTTAATTTTTCATTTAATGTGTAGGTATGCCAAGATCAAAAAGGTTCATGGATATGAGTCGGTCAATGTCTCATCAACAACCTTCTTCATCAACACACGAGCAATTGTTGAATGACGCACAACTTGAAGAACAAACTCAGGATAATGAAACACCTCAAGAGCAAACTCAAGATACTGAAACACGACAAGAGCAAAATGAAGATGCACCATCTTCGTTTAAAAGGAAAACAAGGACTTCGTGGGAAGTTGATGTGATTAGTAAGTTTACATTATTATATTTATTGATTGATATGTACAAAAAGTCTGAATAAATCA